ACCCTGATATGCTATGATTCTATGAAAGGTGCACCTGCAGTTGCAGGACTAAGGCCTATATTATATATCAAAAACTAAGACAGCAATTCTTGAATTGAAATACAACATTAAAGTACAGTCCTGCTTTGAAAAGCAACGGTAAAAAGGTCATTGCGAGATTCCATGTTTGTTGTGTCTCAAGGACTCTATAACCAAATGTGCTCACTTTAAAAAATATTGTTTTTAAATGCCAGCCCTGCAAACTTAATCTGTAAACTTCATCTGGGCTCTGGCTTCTTTCCTTCTCACACATCATTGTCAGTAATGAAAGATCTTGCAAAAAATCAGAATTTTGGTAACATCTCTGCAGCCCACATGCCTTTAAATTATGCCCTCACTACACCTGTGCAATGGAGCTAAGGAGCTCATCCAAATCCCCTTTGGCTCAAGCTCTAAAACTCCCTTCTTTTGCAATGCCCCATAAACAAACAAACAAATCTAGAAGTTAGTCCCTCCTCTGAATTTTCCGGTGTAGCCTGTCTCCTCTATGTCTATCTTTTAGCTTGTAAGCCCATTGGGACCAGGTCTATCTTTATGTCTGGTACAGTGCCAAGCATGTCATCACTGTTAAACAAAGAATAAGTCTTCCTCAACTTGAAACGCAGCTTAACTGCAGAACTGGAATTAATTTGCAAATTGGACACCATTAAATTAGGTTTGAATAAAGACTGGGAGTGGATGAGTCATTACACAAAGTAAAAACTATTTCCCCATGTTAATTTCCCCCCTACTGTTACGCACACCTTCTTGTCAACTGTTGGAAATGGGCCATCCTGATTATCACTACAAAAGTTTTTGTTCTCCTGCTGATAATAGCCCACCTTAATCAATTAGTCTCATTAGAGTTTGTATGGCAACCCCCATTTTTTCATGTTCTCTGTATATATATCCTACTGTGTGTGTGTATATATATATATATATATATATACACACACAGTAGGAAGATATAGATATATATCTTCCTACTGTATTTTCCACTGCATGCATCTGAAGAAGTGGGCTGTAGCCCACGAAAGCTTATGCTCAAATAAATGTGTTAGTCTCTAAGGTGCCCCAAGTACTCCTCGTTCTTTTAGCTTAATAAGTGGTGAATCGAACAGGGATCCCCAGAATTCTATCCAGCAGGTAGAAGCCCAACTGGGAGAAGGAAGGAGCAGAACTGAGATCCTGGGGATGTACACTTGAGTTTACAGTATTTACTTTAATTTTTCAAATGCCCCTGTCTGAAGTTCAAGGTGCCTGTACAATAAAAAGTACATACAATGTGATCTGCTAGGCAAGTGCCAAACCAGCTCTGCTCTTCTCTGTTTTCAGCTTCTTCCAGTCATTCTGGACATCTGTAACTTGCCCTTTTCCTGAGCTGCACACCAAATCCTAGGAGTAAGCATATCAGCACTTTGTGCAATTTCAATAACAGTGGTAATAAGCTCCCTTTCCCCTTAAAGCTACACACAAATCAGATCATTATGGGGAGAATAGGAACCTTTAGCATTCTGTTTTACTTTTAAACTGCTGACAGTTAAAAAGAGACATTTTCTCCAGGATATTTCCCAAAAATGGATCACTGGTAGGGCTGCTCTGCAAATCAAGTGTAAAAACTATTTTTTAAACTGTATAATTTGCCAGGGAGATGCTAAATCAAGGAAGCAAATCCTGGCTCCAGTATGTGTCATCTTTTAAAAAGTGGAAGTCAAATCCTAGTGAGGTAAATAGAAAGGAGCATAAACACTGCCAAATTAAGTGTAAAAATGTAATAAGAAAAGCCAAAAAGGAGTTTGAAGAACTGCTAGCCAAAAACTCCAAAGGTAATAACAAAATGTTTTTTAAGTACATCAGAAGCTGGAAGCCTGTTAAACAACCAGTGGGGCCCCTGGACGATCGAGATACAAAAGGAGCACTTAAAGACAATAAAGTCTTGCAGAGAAACTAAATGAATTTTTTGCTTCAGTCTTCACGGCTGAGGCTGTTAGGGAGATTCCCAAACCTGAGCAGTCCTTTGCAGATGACAAATCTGAGGAATTGTCACAGATTGAAGTGTCACTAGTGGAGGTTTTGGAATTAATTGATAAACTTAACAGTAACAAATCAATGGGACCAGAGGGCATTCACCCAAGAGTTCTGAAAGAACTCAAATGTGAAATTGCAGAACTATTAACTATGGTTTGTAACCTGTCCTTTAAATCAGCTTCTATATTCAATGGCGTTTTAAATATTGGCGTTACATTAGCTATCTTCCAGACAATGACTGGCAATTACAGACCGGTAAGTCTAACGTCAGTACTGGGCAAATTAGCTGAAACAATAGTAAAGAATAAAATTGTCAGACACATAGAAGAACATAAATTGTTGGGCAAAAGTCAACATGGTTTCTGTAAAGGGAAATCATGTCTTACTAATCTATTAGAGTTCTTTGAAGGGGTCAACAAACATGTGGACAAGGGGGATAAATTCATGGAGGTTAAGTCCACTAATGGCTATTAGCCAGGATGGGTAAGGAATGGTGTCCCTAGCCTCTGTTTGTCAGAGGGTGGAGATGGATGGCAGGAGAGAGATCACTTGATCATTACCTGTTAGGTTCACTCCCTCTGGGGCACCTGGCATTGGCCAGTCGGTAGACAGGATACTGGGCTAGATGGACCTTTGGTCTGACTCAGTATGGCCGTTCTTATGTTCTTATGTGTCTGTTGGTTTTGACACTTTACAGTTGATACCAACAAGATAAGAAGATGTCTGCTTTTGCTTTTTACAGATTTAATCTCAATGGTTTGCACACAAAATACATCAACATTTTGTTAAAATTTCTTAATGTACATTACCATCTCACATTTCAGTATATTTAAGATAACTAATTTCTCAATGCAGAAAACACCAATTTACAACATTGAAACAAAAGTGACAGAACATCGTAGGAGAAAAGGAAGGAAAAGATATACTAATGCACTGAGTTAGTTATATATAAATTTAACAAAGAATTTTAAATGTCAACAAATAATTTTTAAAAAAGTAATCTTTAAGAACAATTCTGAGCAGTATTTCATAGTTTAACATGTCTTCCTGATGTTATATGAATATTTTGAGTCTGGAGGAACTTCTCTACAATGCTCTAAAGAACCAGCAGAGTAACAGAAAATGGAACTATTAGTGTTCTAGAGTAAGAGACATGGTCGGCAGTGTTTGAAAATCTATTAGAGCTTAAAATATAACGTTTAAACTCTCCTTGTAAGAAAGTTATAATTTTAAAATGGACTCTAATGTTTCTAATAAAGACCACTTAAAGTATCACTGTTATCACAAAGTAGCAAAATATGCTTTAGTGGTGTTATCCAATAAAAATAAAGTTAAAAATAAATACAGATGACTTTCAGTTATGAAATAAACAGACTGTACCATGGCTTGTGATAAACTATATAAGTTTTCAGAGATGTACACAAGTTGAATATCTACATTAGTTAGTAGGGTTTCATGGACCATTACATATGGACATTTGTATCTCACTTATACAATGCCACAGGAAATAGTCAAATCTATTCATGTACCCTGTGACATCTGGACTGAATATTTAATAGGCCTTTTTTGAGAAAAAAAAACCTAGTGCAAAAGATTTTGGCTTAACAGTTTTTAAAAACAGTGTCTGTTGTAACTCTAGACAGGTTTTACAGAACTTTCACGGAGATTTTTAAAATAAATTTAATATTAAATACAAAAATTTGCTCGAGTGGAATGCTTATTTTTAGCTTTTCTCCAGTAACAAAATATTGAACTATTGATAATATTAAACAAAATATTTTTTTAAAAACCTAAACCTCATAATAAACATCTTCTCCATGGATAACCATGAAATATATATTACACCTACACAAGCTATTATATAACCCGGAGAGGAGGTGCAAGGATGATATAGGGGGAACTATTTGTCAATTCCCCATGGTCTGATGAGACCTTCAACTCCCTCCT